AGAGGTAGATAGGGGGGGGGGGGGGGGTGGGGTTAGTGGGTGATGAGGTGGTGTTTAGGGGGTGTGTGGGGGGGGTATGGAGTTTGTGGGGGATAGTATGGGGTGTGGTGGGGTATGGGGGTGGGGGTGGTATGGGTTGGGATGTGGGTGGGGGGGGGGGTGTGATGGGGTGTTGGTGGGTGGAGTGTTGGTGGATTAGGGGGGTTGTGGGATAGGGGGGGGGGGGGGGGGTGGGTAGGTTGGTGTGTTGTGTTGTGGGGGGGGGTATATGTAGGGGGGGTGGAGGGGGGGGGTAGGGTTAGGGGTGGGGGGGGGGGGGGGTATGGGGATTTAGGGGGGTGGATGTTTGTGGGTAAGTGTAGGTTGATTGGGTGGGGGGGTGGGGAGTGTGGATATGTGGGGTGTGTAAATAGTTGTGGTGAGTTTGGGGGGGGTTGGTTATGGGTGGGTTGGGGGGGGGGTGTGGGGGGGGGGTGTGGGGGTGGGGGGGTGGGTTGTGAGGGGGGGGGGTGGAAGAGAAGTATTTTTGTTTTGGGATGGGTGGGGAGGTATGGGGGTTTTGGTGGTGTTGTGTGGGGGGGTGGGGGGGGGTAAGGGGGGGGGGGGTATGGGGGATTAGTTGTGGGTGGGGGATGGGGTGGGGGATAGGGTGGGGTTGTAGAGGTTATGTGGGGGTTTGGGGAGTTGTAGTGGGGGATGGTGGGTTTTGGGGGGTTGGGGGTGTAGGGGTGGGGATGAGGGGGGTTAGGTGTTGGGTTGTAGTGGGGAGTGGGGGGTTTTGTTGGTAAGTTGGAGGGTTGAGGTGTTTTTTGGGGATGGAGGGGTGTAGGGGGGATATGGTGGGGTAATATGTTTGGGTTGGGTGGGTGAGGGGGTTGGGAGGTGGGAGGGTGGGTGGTGGGGGGGGGGGGGTTTTTGGTGTTTGGGGGGGGGTTGGTGGGTGGGGGGGGGTTTGGTGGGGGGGGAGGTTTTGGGTGTGGTAGTGGTTGTTTGGTGGTGGGGGGGAGGTGGTGGTGGGTTTTTGGGGTGGGGTGGGTGGTGTGGGTGGGGGGGGGTTGGGGGGGTGGGGGGGGGGGTGGGGGGGTGGTGTTGGGGGGTTTTGTTGGTGGGGGGGTTGGTTAGGGGGTTTTGTGGGGTTTTTTGGGGGGGGATTGGGGGTTGGTGGGTGGGGGGGGGGGGGGTGTTTGGTGTGTGGGGTGTGGGTGGGGGGTGGGGGTTTGGGGGGGTTATGGGGGTGTAGTGAAGGTTTGGGGGTTGGGGGGGAATTGGGGGGTGGGGGGTTGGGTGTGGGTTTTTGTGGTGATATTGTGTGTAGGGGGTGGGTTTGGGGGTGTGGAATGTGGGGGTATGTGTGGGGGGGGGGATGGGTGGGAATGGTTGTTAGGGTTGAATTGGGGGGGGTTTGTGGGGATGGGGGGGGGTTAGGGGGGTTGGGATAGGTGGTTGGGGGTTAATGTGGGGGGGGGGGGGTATTTTGTGGTGAAAGGTGTGTAATGGTGGGTTAATGGGAGGTTGTATGTTGGTGGGATATGGGGGGGGGTTTATGTGGGTGGGTGTAATGGGGTGGGGTTTTTGGTTTTAATTGGTTGTGTATATGTGGTGGTTGGTATATTGGTGTGTGGTATTGTGTGGGAAGTTGGGTATGGGGGTGTTGAATGTGGTGGTGAAGGGTGGTTGATGTGTTGGGTTATGGGGTTGTATTTGTTGGGTTTGGGGGTGGGGGATATGGGTGGGGGTGATTGGTGGGGGTGTGTTGTGGGGGGTAATTGGGGGGTGTATGGATGTTGTATTGGGGGTGAATGGTGGGGTAAGGTGTGAGTGTTTGGTGGGGGTGTTATGTTTGGGTGTGGTGGGTTTTAGGGTGGTGGTAATTGTGTGGGTATGTTGGGGGGGGGTAATTGGGGGGTGGTGATGTTGTGGTTTGTGGGGTTTGGTGGTGGTTAGGTGGGGATAGGGGTGGGGGATTGGGGTATTGGGGGGGGGGGGGGGTGGGGTATTGGGGGGTTATATTTTGGGGGAATGGGTGGGTAGGGGGTGTGGTAATTGTGGTGTTAATGTTGTGTGTATTTGGGTGGTATGTGGTGGGTGGGAAGTGGGGGTGTTGGTGTGTGGTAATTGGGGGGTGGGAATGGGGGTTGAATTGGGGGTGGTGAGTTTGGTGCTGGGGGGGGATAGTGGGGGTTGTGTTGGGTGGGGGTAAGGGGGGGGATATGTGGGGGTTTTTTTGTGGTATGGGGTTGTGTGGGGGTTTGTGGGGGGGATGTTATGGTGGGGGGGGTGGGGGAAGGGGGTGGGAGTGGTGTGGGGTGTTTGGGTGGTTTTGGGTGGGGGGGGGGGGGGTAGAGGTGGTGGGGGGGGGGGGGTGTGGTTTTGTGGGAGTTGTGGTTGTAGGGGGGTGGGAAGGTGGATATTTGTGGTAATTGGTGGATGATTGGGTGTGGGGGTAATTTGGGTTGAATTGGGTATTGGGTTTGGGGTGTCATTTGGTGTGGAAGGGTGTGGTAATGTGGGTGTTTGGGGGGATTGGTGTTAGGGGGTTTTGTGGGTTTTATTTGTGGTAGTTGGGGGGGGGGGGGGTTAGGGGGGGTGTTGTATTGGGTGGTGGAATTTGGGTGGTGGGTGGGGGAATGGGTGGTTTTTTGTGAATGGGGGGGTGGGGGTGGGGTATGGGGGGGGGGGTTATGTTGTGGGGTTTGGGTTGTTGTTGGGGTTATGATTGGGGGTGGGTGGTTGTTTTGGGGGGTATAGGGGGGGGTGGTTTAGGGGGGTATTTGTGGTGGGGGGGGTGGTGGGTGGGTGTGTTTGGGGGGGGGGGGGGGGGGGGGGAAGGGGGTTATGGATTTTGGAGTGTTTGTAGTATGGGAAATGTGTGTTGGGGGGGTATTGGGGGGGGGGGGTGTGGTTTTTGGGTTGTGGTTGGGGTGGGGGGGGGTTTTGGTGGTGTATGGGTGAGGGGTTTGGTGGGTTGGTGTTGGGTTGTGGAGGGGTTGGTTGGGGGTTGTGGAGTGTGGGGGGGTGGGGGGTGGGGGGGTTGGGGGGGGGAGGTAGTGGGGTTTTTGGGGGTGGTTGGGGGGGGATGGGGTGGGGGGGGGGTTTTTGGGGGTGGGTTTGTGAGAGATTAGTATTTGTTGTGTGGGGTGTGGGGGGTGGGGGGGGATATGGGGGTGTATAATTGGTAGTGGAAGTGGGTGTAGGAGGTGAGGGGGGGGGGAGGGGTATGAGAGTTTGGTTTATGTTTTGATGGATATAGGGTGGTGAAAATTGTTGGTATATAAGTGGGTTAGGAGGTTGTTGGGTGGGTGGGGGGGGTTGTGGAAGGTTGGGGGGGGGGGTGGGGGTTGGATAGGTTGGGGGAAGGGGGAGTATGAGTTTAGTTTTGTTAGGGTATAGGGAAATGGGGGGGGATGGGTTGAGGGTGAAGGAGGGGGGGAAGGGGATTAATGGATAGTTTTACGGAAGGGGAAATGATGGGGATGGATGGGATGAGGTATGGGAAGAGAGGGGGGGGGAAGAGAGAGGAGAGAGAGAAAGGGGAAGAGAGAAAGAGAGAGTGAGTTTAGAAGAGGGGGGAAGAGAGGGGGGGGGGGAGGGGAGAGGGGAGAGAGTGGGATAGAGGGGGGGGGAGTGATATAGATGATTGAGAAGGGGAGAGAGAGGGGGGGGAGAGAATGGGGAGAGTATGTGGTAATGAGAGGGGGGGGAGAGAATGGGGGTGAGAGGGGAGAGTGTGTTGATTGATAAGAGTGAGAGGAAGTGGGGGGGGAGAGAGAGGGGGGAGAGGGGGAATAGAGGGGGGGTATGGGAGGGGGGAGTGTGTAGGGGGGAGTGAGGGGGGGGTGAGTGTAGGGGGGGGTGTGGGGTGTGTGGGGGTTGATGGTGTTGGGGGGGGGTATTGTGGGGGGGGGGTGATAGTAGAGGGGATATATTGAGGGGAGAGATATTTGGGTTGTGGGTTGGGGGTGGGGGTTGGTGGGAGGGGGGGGTGTGTGGGAGGGGGGGGGGGGGGGTGGGGGATGGGGATTTTGGTGGTGTTATAGGGGGTTTGGGGGTGGTGTGAGGGGGGTGTGGAAGTTTTGGGTATTGTTTGGGTGTAATGTGTGTTGTGGGGGTAGTGATGGTGGTGTTGGGGGTGTGTGTGGGGTGTGTGTAGGGTGATGGGGGGGTGTGTGATGGTGTGTGTTTGGTGTGTGTGTGTGTTGTGGGGTGAGTAGGTGTGTAAGGTGGTGTGTGTGGTAGTGTGTGTGGGGGTGTGTGGTGTGTGTGGGGGGATGTAGTGTGGGTGTGTGTTGGGAGTGTGTGTGGTGTGTGTGTGGTGATTAGTATGTGGGGGGGTGGTGTGTGTGTTGTGTGTGGGTGAGTGTTGGGTAGTGTGAGGGGGGAGTGTGTGGGTGGTGTAGTGGGGGTGAGTGTGTGGAAGTGTGATGGTGTGTGAGTGGGGATGATTGAGTGTGTTGAGTGTGTGAGGGTGAGTGTGTGGGGGGGTGTGTGTGTAGTGAGGGGGGGTTGATGTGTGTGTGTGTGGGGATGTGTTTGGGGATGTGTGTGTGGGGTAGTTGTGGTTTGTGTGTGTGTTGGGATGAGAGAGGGGGGTATTTGTAGGATGGTGTTGTGTGGGGTGAGAGAGTGTTGTGGTAGTGGTAGTAGTGTGGATGAGTGATGAGGTGATTGTTGAGGGGTTGTGTGTGGGGGTGTGTGTTGTGGGGAGTGTAGTGTGGGGGGTGTGTGTAGGGTGTGTGTGTGGGGGTGTGTGTGTGGGTGTGAGTTGATGATGGTAGGGGTGTGTGTTGGGGGGGTGTGTGTGAGGGGGGTGATGTGTGGTGTGTTGTGGGTAGTATGGTGGTGTGATGAGTGGGGAGAGAGATGTGGGGTGTGTGAATGTGGGGAGTGTTGGGAGTGTAGTGGGGGGGGGATGTGTGTGGGTTGGTATGAGAGGGTAGTGTGTGGGGGGTGTGTGAGTGTGTAGTGGGATGTGTGGTTTTGTAGTGTGGTGTGTGAGGGGGATGTTGATAGGAGTTAGGTTAGTGGGGGGTGTGGGGGTGTATGGGGGTTTGTGTGTTGAATTGGAAATTGTTTTTGGGTGGTGTGGTGGGTGGGGGGGGGGGAGGGATGGTTTGGGGGGGTGGTTGGGTTTTGGGTGGTTAGGGGGGGGTGGGGTGTGGGGGTTATGGGGGGATGTGGGGGGAGGGGTTGGGTGTTGGGTGTTGTGGGGGTAGGTGGGTGTTAGGTGGGTGGGTAGATTTATGGGGGTGGGTGTGTGGTAGTGTGGGGTGGTGGTGGGGGTGGGGTGGTGGGGGGGGGGGGGTGGGGTGTTTGGTAGGGGGGTGGGGTGGGGGGGGGGGTTTGGGGGGAGGGGGTGTGTGGGGTGGGGTTGGGTTGGGGGGAGATGGGGGGGTGTTTGGATTGGGTGATGTGGTTAGTGGTGGGTATTGGTAAGGTAGTAGTGGGGTTTGGTGTTTTTGGGTTTGGGTGTTGTATTGGGGATTTTTGGGGATATGTTTTGGGAGTGTGGGGGGGGGGTATATTGGGTAGGAATGGGTGTTGTGTGGGGTAAGATGGGTGATTGGAATGGTATGAGTGTATTGTTGGGGGGTAGGTAATGGGTTTGTGGTGTTGGGGGGGGGTTGGGGGGGTGTTTGGGGGTTTGAGGGGGGGGGTGGTGGTGTGGTGTGGGGTGGGTGGGGGTGGGGGGGGGGGGTGGATGGGGGGGGGGGGATTGGGTGGGGGATGGGGGGGGGGGGGTGGGGGGTAGTGTGTGTGGTGGGGGGTGGTGTTGTTTTTTGGGGGATTTTTGGTTTTTGTGGGGGGTGGGGGGGGTTTTTTTGGGTGTTGGGGTGGGTGGGGTGGGGTGTTATGGTTTTGGGGGGGGTTTTGGGGGGGTGTGTTGGGGGGGTGGGGGTGTGGGTTTGGTGGGGGGGTGGGGGGGGGTGGGTTGAGTTGTGTGGGTTGGTTTGGGGTTGTGGGGGATGTGTTTGTTTGTGGGGGGGGGTGGGAGGTTTGGATGGTTGGGGTGGTTGGGGGGTGGTGGGGGTTGTTGGGTGTTGTTTGTTTTGGGGGGGGTGTTGGGGGGGGTGGTTGTTTTGGTGGGTGGGGGGGGTTGGTGTGGTGGGTGGGGTTGGGAGTTGGGTGGGGGGTGGTGGGTGTGGGTGTTGGTTAGGAGTTTTGGTGTGGTTGGGGTGGTGGGGGGGGGTGGGGGTTGGGGGGGTGTTGGGTGGGGTTGGTGGGTTAGGGGTGGGGGGGGGGGTGTGTGGTGGAGTGTTGGGGGGGGTGGGGGGTGGGTTGGTGTGGGGGTGTGTGGTGTGGGGTGGGGGGTTGGTGGTTGGGGGTTGGGGGTGGGGGTTGGTGGGGTTGTGTGTGGGGGGGTTTGGGGGGGGGGGGTGGTTGGGGGGGTGTTTGGTTTGGGGGTGGGGGGGGGGGGTGTGGGGGGGGGTGGGGGTTGGGGGTGTGTGGGTTGTGGGGGTGTTGGTGGGGTGTGTGTTGGTGTTGTTGGTTGGGGGGGGGGTGGTGGGGGGGTGGTTGGTGTGTGTTGTGGGGGGGGGGGGGGGGGTGTGGGGGGTTGGTTGGGTGGGTTGTTTTGGTGGGTTTGGTGTTTTGGGGGGGGGTTGGTGGTAGTGGGTTTGTGGGTGTGGGGGGGTGGTTGTGGTTTGGTGTGATGTGGGGTGGGGGGGGGGGGGTGGGGGGGTGAGGGGGTGGGGGTTTGTGTGGGGGTGTTTGGTGGGGGGGGGGGGGGGGGTATGGGGGGGGTTGGAGGGGTTTTGGTGGGGTGGGGTGGTTGGGGGTGTTTGGGTGGGGTGTGGGGTGGGTGGGGGGGGGTTGTGGGGGGGTGTGGGGGTTGGGTGGGGGGGTTGTGGGGGGGGGGGTGTGGTGGGTGGGTGGGGGGTGGTTGTGGGGGGGTGGGGGGGGGGGGGGGGGGTGGGTGGGTGGGGTGGTGGGGTTAGGGGGTTGGGGGGGGGGGTGGGGGGGGGTTGGGGGGGGGGGTGGGGGTGGTTTGTGGGTGTGGGGGGGGGTGGGGGGGGGGGTGGGGGGGGTGTTGTGGTGGGGGGTTTTGGTTTGGTGGGTGTAGTGGGTTTGGGGGGGGGGGGGTGGGTAGGTGTGGGGTGGTTTTGGGGGTGTGGTGGGGTGGGTGGGGTTTGGGGGGGGGTGTTTGTTTGGGTGGGTGATTTTCATTCAGTGCCTTTTTGTTGACAAAATGTTGCGGCTTCCTGCAGACCTGAGCCGCTGAGCCGGTCAGAGTGGGTCCTGTAATGTGATGACGCGTATTGAAGCCTATGCTAATAAATCCTTGATCCTGGTATTGCGTTTTAAAGTGATTTATTGACTTAAAAAGGTGCAGCAAACAAAGTATGGAAAAATGATAAACTGCTGAACTGTAACATAGAACCTGATGTGAGCAAAAGAAGAGGTATAAGGCAAACAAACGAACAAAACGAACAAACGGTCAACAAAAAATACGGCTACCCACTCAGCCCTGACTCATTCGCCTGACAGATACACGCACACTTTTACCCCTGCTCGTGCGCGCACCTGCCCCGTGAGCCCCGCCCCCTGCTGTGCAGCCACACACACACACACACACACACACCCACCCAGTGAACCCTGATCTGTCTCCTACAACACTTTTTACAGGAGTCAGTGGTTCTAAAGTCAGGAACATTTGTGGATTCAGAGTTATTTATTCAGATTAATGTCAAGTTAATATTTTAACGATTCCTCACGTGTTTCTGAGTGATCACCGCATGGTCTGTTGTTGATGACGCTGAAGTTACGTCCCGCAGCTTTAAATGTTGCAGCTGCTCAGTCGCGTTTTAGTTTCACTTTTGATTTCTCCAAAGCAGGAAACAGCCGCAGTCCTCGCTCTCTGCGTCTGTGCGTTTGGAAACATGTCCGCGGACACAGAGCAGGTTCATGAGAAGGTACTACACTATCATCAATAATATTATCACTCTTAATATCTTTATTATTATTATTACTGTTGTAACAATCCCGTGTCTGACTGGTCTCTCTCTCGTCTCTCTCTGGTCTCCCTCTGGTCTCTCTCGCTCTCGTCTCCCTCTCTCGTCCTTATTTGGTCTCTCTCTGGTCTCTCTCTGGTCTCTTTCTGGTCTCTCTCTGGTCTCTCTCTGATCTCTCTCTGGTCTCTCTCTGTTCTCTCTCTCTCTGGTCTCTCTCTGGACTCTCTCTCTGGTCTCTGATCTCTCTCTGGTCTCTGGTCTCTCTCTCTGATCTCTCTCTGGTCTCTCTCTCTCTGGTCTCTCTCTCTGGTCTCTCTCTGGTCTCTGATCTCTCTCTGGTCTCTCTCTCTCTGGTCTCTCTCTCTGGTCTCTGATCTCTTTCTGGTCTCTCTCTGGTCTCTCTCTGGTCTCTGGTCTCTCTCTGGTCTCTCTCTGGTCTCTGGTCTCTCTCTGGTCTAAGCTTCTGTTGCAGGGAGCGGAGTCAGACCTGAGCGCCGCCCTAAAGGAGCTGCAGGAGTGGAAGGTGACACATTTATTGATATGGCGCAGTGACAGACTACAGTCTCCAGAGGCTAAGTCTGCTTCAGTATAATCGTTACAGGGCTGTGGTGGTTAGCCGTGCTTCTAACATTCTCCATTAGTGAGAAACTTTTCAGAATACTGTGGTTTTTGCTCTCATTGGTATCCCTCTCAGGGCTCTTTCTGGTCTCTCTCTCTCTGGTTTCTCTTTCTGGTCTCTCTCTGCTTTCTCTTTCTGGTCTCTGTCTATGGTTTCTCTCTGGTCTCCCTCTGGTCTCTCTCTGGTTTCCCTCTGGTCTCTCTCTGGTCTCTCTCTGGTTTCCCTCTGGTCTCTCTCTGGTCTCTCTCTGGTCTCTCTGGTCTCTCTCTGGTCTCCCTCTGGTCTCCCTCTGGTCTCTCTCTGGTTCCCCTCTGGTCTCTCTCTGGTCTCCCTCTGGTTTCCTTTTGGTCTCTCTCTGGTCTCTCTGGTCTCCCTCTGGTCTCTCTCTGGTTTCCCTCTGGTCTCTCTCTGGTCTCTCTCTCTGGTCTCTCTCTCTGGTCTCTCTCTGGTCTCTCTCTGGTCTCCCTCTGGTCTCCCTCTGGTCTTTCTCTGGTCTCTCTCTGGTCTCTCTCTGGTCTCCCTCTGGTCTCTCTCTGGTCTCTCTCTGGTCTCCCTCTGGTCTCCCTCTGGTCTCTCTCTGGTCTCTCTCTGGTCTCCCTCTGGTCTCTCTCTGGTCTCCCTCTGGTCTCCCTCTGGTCTCCCTCTGGTCTCTCTCTGGTTTCTCTCTGGTCTCCCTCTGGTCTCTCTCTGGTCTCCCTCTGGTCTCTCTCTGGTCTCCCTCTGGTCTCCCTCTGGTCTCCCTCTGGTCTCTCTCTGGTCTCTCTCTGGTCTCAGGGCGGTGTATTTCTGTAGTTAAAGGTGAAGGATGCAGAGGAGCTGAAAACTGAGCTGATGAAGAGGAAGAAGGAGGAAGAGGAGGAGCCTGGACCCTGCAAATGTCAAGGCTGATGTCTGTTACTACTACTACTACTACTACTGCTACTACTGCTACTACTACTACTACTACTACTACTACTACTGCTACTACTACTACTACTACTACTACTACTACTACTACTACTACTACTACTACTACTACTACTACTACTACTACTGCTACTACTGCTACTACTGCTACTACTACTACTTCTACTACTACTACTACTACTACTACTACTACTACTACTACTACTACTACTACTACTGCTACTACTGCTACTACTACTACTACTACTACTACTACTACTACTACTACTACTACTACTACTACTACTGCTACTACTGCTACTACTGCTACTACTACTACTACTACTACTACTACTACTACTACTACTGCTACTACTGCTATTACTGCTACTACTACTACTACTACTACTACAATACTTGTACTAGTACTACTGCTACTGTTGCTGCTGCAGTCTTGTCTCATCTGGTCTGGTCTGGGTCTGGGTCCGGTCTGGGTCTGGGTCTGGTCTGGGTCTGGGTCTGGTCTGGTCTGGGTCTGGGTCTGGTCTGGGTCTGGGTCTGGTCTGGGTCTGGGTCTGGGTCTGGGTCTGGGTCTGGGTCTGGTCTGGGTCTGGGTCTGGGTCTGGGTCTGGGTCTGGGTCTGGGTCTGGGTCTGGGTCTGGTCTGGTCTGGGTCTGGGTCTGGGTCTGGGTCTGGGTCTGGGTCTGGGTCTGGGTCTGGGTCTGGTCTGGGTCTGGGTCTGGGTCTGGGTCTGGGTCTGGGTCTGGGTCTGGGTCTGGGTCTGGGTCTGGGTCTGGTCTGGGTCTGGGTCTGGGTCTGGGTCTGGGTCTGGTCTGGGTCTGGGTCTGGGTCTGGGTCTGGTCTGGGTCTGGTCTGGGTCTGGGTCTGGGTCTGGGTCTGGGTCTGGGTCTGGGTCTGGGTCTGGTCTGGGTCTGGTCTGGGTCTGGGTCTGGGTCTGGGTCTGGGTCTGGGTCTGGGTCTGGGTCTGGGTCTGGGTCTGGGTCTGGGTCTGGGTCTGGTCTGGGTCTGGGTCTGGGTCTGGTCTGGGTCTGGGTCTGGGTCTGGGTCTGGGTCTGGGTCTGGGTCTGGGTCTGGGTCTGGGTCTGGTCTGGGTCTGGGTCTGGTCTGGGTCTGGGTCTGGTCTGGGTCTGGGTCTGGTCCGGTCTGGGTCTGGTCCGGTCTGGGTCTGGGTCTGGTCTGGGTCTGGGTCTGGTCTGGGTCTGGGTCTGGTCCGGTCTGGGTCTGGTCCGGTCTGGGTCTGGGTCTGGTCTGGGTCTGGGTCTGGGTCTGGGTCTGGGTCTGGTCTGGGTCTGGGTCTGGTCTGGGTCTGGTCTGGGTCTGGGTCTGGTCTGGGTCTGGGTCTGGGTCTGGGTCTGGTCTGGGTCTGGGTCTGGGTCTGGTCTGGGTCTGGTCTGGGTCTGGGTCTGGTCTGGGTCTGGGTCTGGTCTGGTCTGACCTCAGTCTCGTCCTCAGGTTGAGCTCAGTCGCATCAGTCGCAGGAATCAGGAGTCACAGCAGCGCCTCCTCCGACTCAGATCTGAGCTGGAGCAGAAGAAGAAGGAGACCAGGGCGCTGCAGAACACGGTTAAGGTCAGTAGAAGAAGAAGGAGACCAGGGCGCTGCGGAACACGGTTAAGGTCAGTAGAAGAAGAAGGAGACCAGGGCGCTGCGGAACACGGTTAAGGTCAGTAGAAGAAGAAGGAGACCAGGGCGCTGCGGAACACGGTTAAGGTCAGTAGAAGAAGAAGGAGACCAGGGCGCTGCGGAACACGGTTAAGGTCAGTAGAAGAAGAAGGAGACCAGGGCGCTGCGGAACACGGTTAAGGTCAGTAGAAGAAGAAGGAGACCAGGGCGCTGCGGAACACGGTTAAGGTCAGTAGAAGAAGAAGGAGACCAGGGCGCTGCGGAACACGGTTAAGGTCAGTAGAAGAAGAAGGAGACCAGGGCGCTGCGGAACACGGTTAAGGTCAGTAGAAGAAGAAGGAGACCAGGGCGCTGCGGAACACGGTTAAGGTCAGTAGAAGAAGAAGGAGACCAGGGCGCTGCGGAACACGGTTAAGGTCAGTAGAAGAAGAAGGAGACCAGGGCGCTGCGGAACACGGTTAAGGTCAGTAGAAGAAGAAGGAGACCAGGGCGCTGCGGAACACGGTTAAGGTCAGTAGAAGAAGAAGGAGACCAGGGCGCTGCGGAACACGGTTAAGGTCAGTAGAAGAAGAAGGAGACCAGGGCGCTGCGGAACACGGTTAAGGTCAGTAGAAGAAGAAGGAGACCAGGGCGCTGCGGAACACGGTTAAGGTCAGTAGAAGAAGAAGGAGACCAGGGCGCTGCGGAACACGGTTAAGGTCAGTAGAAGAAGAAGGAGACCAGGGCGCTGCGGAACACGGTTAAGGTCAGTAGAAGAAGAAGGAGACCAGGGCGCTGCGGAACACGGTTAAGGTCAGTAGAAGAAGAAGGAGACCAGGGCGCTGCGGAACACGGTTAAGGTCAGTAGAAGAAGAAGGAGACCAGGGCGCTGCGGAACACGGTTAAGGTCAGTAGAAGAAGAAGGAGACCAGGGCGCTGCGGAACACGGTTAAGGTCAGTAGAAGAAGAAGGAGACCAGGGCGCTGCGGAACACGGTTAAGGTCAGTAGAAGAAGAAGGAGACCAGGGCGCTGCGGAACACGGTTAAGGTCAGTAGAAGAAGAAGGAGACCAGGGCGCTGCGGAACACGGTTAAGGTCAGTAGAAGAAGAAGGAGACCAGGGCGCTGCGGAACACGGTTAAGGTCAGTCAGAAGAAGAAGGAGACCAGGGCGCTGCGGAACACGGTTAAGGTCAGTAGAAGAAGAAGGAGACCAGGGCGCTGCGGAACACGGTTAAGGTCAGTAGAAGAAGAAGGAGACCAGGGCGCTGCGGAACACGGTTAAGGTCAGTAGAAGAAGAAGGAGACCAGGGCGCTGCGGAACACGGTTAAGGTCAGTAGAAGAAGAAGGAGACCAGGGCGCTGCGGAACACGGTTAAGGTCAGTAGAAGAAGAAGGAGACCAGGGCGCTGCGGAACACGGTTAAGGTCAGTAGAAGAAGAAGGAGGACCAGGGCGCTGCGGAACACGGTTAAGGTCAGTAGAAGAAGAAGGAGACCAGGGCGCTGCGGAACACGGTTAAGGTCAGTAGAAGAAAGAAGGAGACCAGGGCGCTGCGGAACACGGTTAAGGTCAGTAGAAGAAGAAGGAGACCAGGGCGCTGCGGAACACGGTTAAGGTCAGTAGAAGAAGAAGGAGACCAGGGCGCTGCGGAACACGGTTAAGGTCAGTAGAAGAAGAAGGAGACCAGGGCGCTGCGGAACATGGTTAAGGTCAGTAGAAGAAGAAGGAGACCAGGGCGCTGCAGAACACGGTTAAGGTCAGTAGAAGAAGAAGGAGACCAGGGCGCTGCGGAACACGGTTAAGGTCAGTAGAAGAAGAAGGAGACCAGGGCGCTGCGGAACACGGTTAAGGTCAGTAGAAGAAGAAGGAGACCAGGGCGCTGCGGAACACGGTTAAGGTCAGCAGAAGAAGAAGGAGACCAGGGCGCTGCGGAACACGGTTAAGGTCAGTAGAAGAAGAAGGAGACCAGGGCGCTGCGGAACACGGTTAAGGTCAGTAGAAGAAGAAGGAGACCAGGGCGCTGCAGAACACGGTTAAGGTCAGTAGAAGAAGAAGGAGACCAGGGCGCTGCAGAACACGGTTAAGGTCAGTAGAAGAAGAAGGAGACCAGGGCGCTGCGGAACACGGTTAAGGTCAGTAGAAGAAGAAGGAGACCAGGGCGCTGCGGAACACGGTTAAGGTCAGTAGAAGAAGAAAGGAGACCAGGGCGCTGCAGAACACGGTTAAGGTCAGTAGAAGAAGAAGGAGACCAGGGCGCTGCGGAACACGGTTAAGGTCAGTAGAAGAAGAAGGAGACCAGGGCGCTGCGGAACACGGTTAAGGTCAGTAGAAGAAGAAGGAGACCAGGGCGCTGCGGAACACGGTTAAGGTCAGTAGAAGAAGAAGGAGACCAGGGCGCTGCGGAACACGGTTAAGGTCAGTAGAAGAAGAAGGAGACCAGGGCGCTGCGGAACACGGTTAAGGTCAGTAGAAGAAGAAGGAGACCAGGGCGCTGCGGAACACGGTTAAGGTCAGTAGAAGAAGAAGGAGACCAGGGCGCTGCGGAACACGGTTAAGGTCAGTAGAAGAAGAAGGAGACCAGGGCGCTGCGGAACACGGTTAAGGTCAGTAGAAGAAGAAGGAGACCAGGGCGCTGCGGAACACGGTTAAGGTCAGTAGAAGAAGAAGGAGACCAGGGCGCTGCGGAACATGGTTAAGGTCAGTAGAAGAAGAAGGAGACCAGGGCGCTGCGGAACACGGTTAAGGTCAGTAGAAGAAGAAGGAGACCAGGGCGCTGCGGAACACGGTTAAGGTCAGCAGAAGAAGAAGGAGACCAGGGCGCTGCGGAACACGGTTAAGGTCAGTAGAAGAAGAAGGAGACCAGGGCGCTGCGGAACACGGTTAAGGTCAGTAGAAGAAGAAGGAGACCAGGGCGCTGCAGAACACGGTTAAGGTCAGTAGAAGAAGAAGGAGACCAGGGCGCTGCAGAACACGGTTAAGGTCAGTAGAAGAAGAAGGAGACCAGGGCGCTGCGGAACACGGTTAAGGTCAGTAGAAGAAGAAGGAGACCAGGGCGCTGCGGAACACGGTTAAGGTCAGTAGAAGAAGAAGGAGACCAGGGCGCTGCAGAACACGGTTAAGGTCAGTAGAAGAAGAAGGAGACCAGGGCGCTGCGGAACACGGTTAAGGTCAGTAGAAGAAGAAGGAGACCAGGGCGCTGCGGAACACGGTTAAGGTCAGTAGAAGAAGAAGGAGACCAGGGCGCTGCGGAACACGGTTAAGGTCAGTAGAAGAAGAAGGAGACCAGGGCGCTGCGGAACACGGTTAAAGCTGCACAAACTGACTTTATTTTTGTATTCATTACGAAAGTGCTATCCATGTCCATGCAGTGCATTGGGATACACGTCCTTTAGAAGAAAAAGTAGCGCAGATTTGTGCTGGCGTGACATTATATTTTAGATCGAGTTTTGATGAAACAAGGAAGAGAATGTGTTTCGGGTCGCAGATTTTGACCAATCACAGCGGACCACTGGCCCCCACTTTCGTGAGAAATCTCCAGGTCCGTTAGCACAGACGGCTGAGTTAGCACAACAAGCGGCGGAGCTAACCTGAAACTTCCTCGTCTGCGTCACCGGTTACTGCTTACACAGCGAGACAGCCATCCAAAAGAAAGTCCCGTTCCTCCGCGCTTCCCGGTTCTATCGTTCTATGGTCACGCCATCCACGTGCAAATCCATATCCATGTATTATCCATATTGGGAGACGCTAGCTCCGTCAACAACAGTGGGTGTGTGTGGGGGCGATAGCTTCGAGGGTGCGGGGAGGGGAGCAGAAAGATCCCAAAGTCAGTTAGTGCAGCTTTAAGGTCGGTAGAAGAAGGAGACCTCACACTGACCTGACCTCTGACCTCTGAAAGGCTTCATTTATCGCAGCTCATCTCAGGTCAGAGGCAACTGTTATTACTGTGATGTCATAGAGTTATTACTGTGATGTCATAGAGTTATTACTGTGATGTCATAGAGTTATTACTGTGATGTCATAGAGTTATTACTGTGATGTCATAGAGTTATTACTGTGATGTCATAGAGTTATTACTGTGATGTCATAGAGTTCTTACTGTGATGTCATAGAGTTATTACTGTGATGTCATAGAGTTACTGTCACACATGTCTCTGACCTCTGACCCCGTGTGGTCTCAGGTGGTCGCACACCTGCCCCACACTCCGGTCGAGTTCCTGAAGCCTGGGGCTGATGATGATTCCGCTGATGCACCAATCAGAGGCCAGTTCTGTGTGAGCCAGCAGGGGGCGCTGCTGCTGCAGGGACCACAGGCTCTGATGACCTTTGAAGACGAGAAAGGTACAGGACACTGGACGGGTCCAGGTCCAGACTGGTTCAGGTCCAGTCCAGGTCTGGTCTGGTCTGGTCCTCTTTGACCCCTGTCCCTGTCCACAGTGGCGTCCCGTGTTCTGCAGATGGACAAATGCTGCGTTTCCTTCGATGGACAAACTCTGGAAGTGAAACCACAGAAGATCCAGACTGAGAGTCACCTGCAGTTCCAGGTCTGAGACCAGAGCGAGACCAGAGAGAGACCAGAGAGACCAGAGAGAGACCAGAGAGAGACCAGAGAGAGACCAGAGAGAGACCAGAGAGAGACCAGAGAGAGACCAGAGAGAGACCAGAGCGAGACCAGAGACAGACCAGAGAGAGACCAGAGAGAGACCAGAGAGAGACCAGAGACAGACCAGAGAGAGACCAGAGAGAGACCAGAGAGAGACCAGAGAGAGACCAGAGCGAGACCAGAGAGAGACCAGAGAGAGACCAGAGAGAGACCAGAGAGAGACCAGAGAGAGACCAGAGAGAGACCAGAGAGACCAGAGAGAGACCAGAGAGAGACCAGAGAGAGACCAGAGCGAGACCAGAGAGAGACCAGAGAGACCAGAATTAGACCAGAGAGAGACCAGAGAGAGACCAGAGAGAGAGAGAGAGAGAATTAGACCAGAGAGAGACCAGAGAGACCAGAGAGACCAGAGAGAGACCAGAGAGAGACCAGAGAGGCCAGAAAGAGGCCAGAGAGAGACCAGAGAGAGACCAGAGAGAGACCAGAGCGAGACCAGAGTGAGACCAGAGAGAGACCAGAGAGAGACCAGAGAGAGAGAGAGACCTCATCAGATAAGAGAATCAAACAGTTCAAACACAAAGAAAAGAAAACACATTGGTGTGTGTCTCTCTCTGTGTGTGTGTGTGTGTGTGTGTCTGTGTGTGTGTCTCTGTGTGTGTCTCTGTGTGTGTGTCTCTCTGTGTGTGTGTGTCTCTGTGTGTGTCTCTGTATGTGTGGCTCTGTGTGTGTGTGTGTGTGTGTGTGTCTGTCAGGTGGACCTGTGTGTGTCCCGCTCTCTCCTGGACGTGGTGGGGGTTGTGAGTGCGATGCCCGATGAGCTCCTGGAGAAGTGTGTTGCTCTGAGCTTCAGTGGGAGCAGAGCGGAGGTGACGTCTGTGAAGATGGACCATCAGAGAGACACGACCCGAGTCCAGCTCAGCCAACCAGGTGAGAGAGGGGCGGGGCTAAGGCAGGGGGCGGTGCTTCAGACCAGAGAGAGACCAGAAAGAGACCTGAGAGAGACCAGAGAGAGACCAGAGAGAGAGCAGAGAGAGAGCAGAGAGAGACCAACGAGAGACCAAAGAAAGACCAGAGAGACCAGAGAGAGAGCAGAGAGAGACCAGAGAGAGACCAAAGAGAGACCAGAGAGAGACTAGAGAGAGACCAGAGAGAGACCAAAGAGAGACCAGAGAGAGACTAGAGAGAGACCAGAGAGAGACCAGAGAGAGACCAGAGAGAGAGACTCCGGATCTCCCGGATGCGAGAGGACGCGGGCGCGTTTTTGCTGCCGCTTCTCACTCCGGACGTAAAAGTTTGTTTTTGCTAAAAGTAAGCGGTTTAACGTACCGATTTTGCCTGGTGTCGGTGGTGTCTGATGTTGCCTCGGCGCCTGGACTGTTCCTTGACTGGTTGCCCGCGTCTGCCGCCTGTTACAGCCTTTCACGGTGTGTCCCTGCTGTGCTTCACGCTTGCTCCCGGGGCTGCCTCCGGCCAAGCCACGCTGTGCTCTTCTCAATCAGCGGATTACAGCCCGGCCTGCACCCCGGAGCAGCCAGCCAGCTATGCGGCTACTGTTCGTGGCTTTCCTGCTTGCCTCTCTGCGGATCCTGTCAACACCGGCTCCGTCCATGGCGCTTCGTTACACGTCCTCACAGCTCATCAGACTCAACCACCGCGCACCTCCTTCACTGGACATCACCTCAACTCTGCAACAACACTGTCTTGTCCGCCGTCGCCCCTACATCCACCGAGGGCCCCGTCGCAATCTTGTCTTCAATTTCACAGGCAAAAGCAATATTCCCTCTGTCTGGTCCGCCTGCAGATCCATGCGCAGCTCACACCAGCTTGGTTCCAACAACATCCGCATACGTCATCCGAGCACTCATCACGTGACTACATCAAACCTCCTGTCTGTCCCAATTTCTGCCACACAAACTTCACAACAAAAGCCTCTAAAAACAGCACTATTCAATACACGGTCACTCAGCAATAAAAGCCTGCTCCTCTGTGAATTCATCATTGACAATAAACTGGACATACTTTGTCTCACTGAAACCTAGCACAAACCCATGGAATACACCACATTAAATCAGACCACCCCACCTGGATATTCCTACATCGATAACCCACGCCTAGACCGGAGAGGAGGTGGCATTGCAGTCATCCACCGCAGCAACATCTCCCTCCGCCCCATCTCCATCCCGGCTGTATCTTCATTCGAACACCTGGCCTTCAGACTTCCCGGTTCCCAATCACTCATTGCTGCAGTCATCTACCGCCCTCCCAAAACCTGCTCATCATTTCTCTCAGATTTTACTGATTTCGTAACTCAGCTGTCCTCCATTTCTCCATCCGTTCTCCTCCTTGGTGACTTCAACATTCATATTGACTCCCCTACAGTTAAATTTACATCTGACTTTTTGGACATTTTAAACTGCCTCAACCTCACCCAGCACGTCACTTCACCCACACACAACCATGGACACATCCTGGATCTGGTCTGTTCCACCCCCTCCTTCACCATACACAACCTGTCACTCACCGACCTGACCATTTCTGATCATCTGGCCATCACCCTGGACATAATTACCCCCTCTCCCACCACCAAACAGACACAAACAATTACTTTCCGAAATCTTAAGTCTATTTGTCCCATATCTCTCTCCTCCTCCATATCCCATGCCCTATCCAGCTCTTCCCTCCCTTCAGATCCATCTGCCTCCGATCTAGTCACTTTCTATAACCACACACTCTCCTCCTGCCTCAACCAAATTGCCCCCATGAAAACTGCCTCAGTCTCCTTCTCTACCTCCGCCCCTTGGTATACCCCAGATCTCCACAGTCTCAAAAAACAAAAGAGACAACTTGAAAGGCTCCATATAAAAACTGGTCTCCTCGTTCATGCACAAGCCTACAAACAAGCCACAACCACATACAACTCTGCTCTCAAAACTGCCCGGTCCAACTACTATTCACAACTCATCCACTCAAATTCTTCCAACCCCCGCACCCTATTCTCAACTTTTGCAAATCTGACAAAACCCAAGGACAATATAACCTCCACATTCACTACAGACAAATGCAATAACTACCTGTCATTCTACCATACCAAAATCCATACCATACACTGTTCACTTGCCTCCACTTCCTCCTCTTCTTCCTACTCCGAACTTGAACCCACTGCACTCACAGTCCATTGCCTTCCCTCCTTCTCCCCCCTCTCTCCCTCTGACACCACCAAACTTCTCTCAACCATGAAATTTTCCAACTGCCAGCTTGATCCAATCCCATCTTCCCTCCTCAAAACCTGTCAACTAACTCTCATCCCTCTCATCACCTGCATCATCAACACTTCCCTAACCTCTGGTTCTGTCCCTTCCCCGCTCAAACTAGCCTCCATCACACCCCTCCTGAAAAAACCCGGCCTCAACCCTGACAACTTGGACAACTTTCGACCCATCTCCAACCTCCCGTTACTGTCAAAAATCCTGGAACGCGCCGTCATCAACCAAATCCACCAACATCTCCACTCCTCCCATCTCTTCGAAACATTTCAATCTGGATTCCGTACACACCACAGCACAGAAACAGCACTTCTCAAAGTTACTAACGACCTCCTCCTCGCTGCCGACTCTGGTTCCTTATCCATCCTCCTTCTCCTCGATCTCTCCGCTGCATTTGACACAATAGATCATTCCATCCTCCTCCACCGTCTACAATCCATTGGAATTTCTGGCACAGCACTCCTCTGGTTCACCTCTTACCTCTTCAATCGTCTCCACTTTGTGTCTGTCAACAACTGCAAGTCTCACACTTCCCCCGTCACCCATGGTGTCCCCCAAGGTTCCGTGCTCGGCCCTCTCCTCTTCACCATCTACATGCTTCCCCTCGGTCAGATCATCCGCCATCATGGACTCCACTTCCACTGTTATGCCGACGACACGCAACTCTACATCTCCACCAAATCCATCACCCCGGTTATTCGCTCCACCATCGAAAATTGCATCTCCGACATTAAAACCTGGATGGACAATAACCTTCTCAAACTCAACAGTAACAAAACAGAACTCCTCATCATCAGCCCCAAAACTCTCCTGCCCTCTGTCCAGAACTTCACCCTCCTCATTGACGGTCACATTGTCACCCCCTCATCCTCTGTACGCAACCTTGGCATCATATTGGACTCCACCCTTTCATACCAAACCCACATCAAACACATCACCAAAACCTCCTTCTTCCACCTCCGCAACATTGCCCGCCTCCGCCCCTCCCTTACCCAGTCAACAGCCGAAATCCTCATCCACGCATTCATCACCTCCAGACTCGACTACTGCAACAGCCTCCTCTACGGACTTCCCACCACTCATCTCCAAAAACTGCAATACATCCAGAACTCTGCAGCCCGCCTCCTCACCCACACCCGGTCCAGAGAACACATCACCCCTGTCCTCCAGCAGCTCCACTGGCTCCCGTTCAATACCGCATCCATTACAAGCTCCTCCTCCTCACCTACAAGTCCCTCCATAACCTGGCCCCGCCCTACCTTACTGAGCTCCTACAATAGCACCAACCCACCCGCCACCTTCGCTCAGCCAATTCCAACCTCCTCACCCCCATCACCCGCACTAACCGTCGAACCTTGGGGGACAGAGCTTTTGCCATTGCCGCCCCAACCCTCTGGAACTCACTCCCACTGCTCATTAGAAACTCTGACTCACAATCAAACTTTAAATCAGTACTCAAAACCCATCTTTTCAAACAAGCTTTTCCGTAAACCCCTTTTTATTATTGTATTTTACTCCCCATGTGAAGCGTCTTTGAGTGTCCAAGAAAGCGCTATACAAGTTTGATGTATTATTATTATTATTATTATTAGAGAGAGACTAGAGAGAGAGCAGAGAGAGACCAAAGAGAGACCAAAGAGAGACCAAAGAGAGACCAGAGAGAGACTAGAGAGAGACCAGAGAGAGACCAGAGAGAGACCAGAGAGACCAGAAAGAGACTAGAGAAAGACCAGAGAGAGACCAGAGAGAGACCAGAGAGAGACTAGAGAGAGACTAGAGAGAGACCAGAGAGAGACCAGAAAGAGACTAGAGAAAGACCAGAGAGAGACCAAAGAGAGACCAGAGAGAGACCAGAGAGAGACTAGAGAGAGACAAGAGAGAGACCAGAGAGAGACTAGAGAAAGACCAGAGAGAGACCAGAGAGAGACCAGAGAGAGGCAAGAGAGAGACCAGAGAGAGGCCAGAGGAAGACTAGAGAAAGACCAGAGAGAGACCAAAGAGAGACCAGAGAGAGACCAGAAAGAGACTAGAGAGAGACCAGAGAGACACCAACAAGAAACTAGAGACCAGAAAGAGAGAAATGAGAAAGAGAAATATGATTTTATTGGAGAATCCTGGATGTGTGTGTGACCTGGAGACTCATGTGATGCTGTTTCAGTGGCAGAGTGGTTAACCTCTGGAGGAGGTCACACCGTGGAGCTGGAGACCACGACCAAAGTCCATCTGGCTCCAGTGCTGGAACATCAGCTCAGCAACTTCCAGGTGAATGTTCTCTGCCTCCTCTGCTCTCCGGTATTAAGCTTTTCTCTATCTCTCTATGGTCTCTCTCTGGTCTCTCTCTGGTCTCTCTCTGGTCTTTCTCTGGTCTCTCTCTCTGGTCTCTCTCTCTGGTCTCTCTCTGGTCTCTCTCTCTGGTCCCTCTCTCTGGTCTCTCTCTGGTCTCTCTCTCTGGCCTCCCTCTGGTCTCCCTCTGGTCTCCCTCTGGTCTCCATCTGGTCTCTCCCTGGTCTCTCTCTGGTCTCTCTCTGGTCTCTCTCTGGTCTCCCCCTGGTCTCTCCCTGGTCTCTCTCTGGTCTCTCTCTGGTCTCTCTCTGGTTTCTCTCTGGTCTCTCCCTGGTCTCTCTCTGGTCTCTCTCTGGTCTCTCTCTGGTCTCTCTCTAGTTTCTCTCTGGTCTCTCTCTGGTCTCTGTCTGGTCTCTCTCTGGTCTCTCTCTGGTCTCTCTCTGGTCTCTCTCTGGTCTCTCTCTGGTCTCTCTCTGGTCTCCCTCTGGTCTCTCTCTGGTCTCTCTCTGGTCTCTCTCTAATTTCTCTCTGGTCTCTCTCTGGTCTCTCTCTGATCTCCCTCTGGTCTCCATCTGGTCTCTCTCTGCTCTCTATGGTCTCTCTCTAGTCTCCCTCTCCAGCAATAATCTTTTCTCCTGGTGTTCCAGACCTTCTGCGCCTCCTCCAAGCGCTCTGTGCTCCTCCTGGTCAGCAGAGACACTGGGGATGAGGAGGAGGTGCAGGACCAGCTGGAGATCTACTTCCAGAAGCCCAGTAACGGAGGAGGAGAGATCGAGACCACAACATACCTGAGCCCGGGGAGGAGCGAGCTGGCCCTGCTGAGTCCTGACCGCTAGGGGGCGCTGTTCACAATCAATAATATATACATTTACCTTGTTAAAGCTCGGGTCTGTAACTTTAGTCTCATAAATAACACATGTTTAAAGCTCAGGTCTGTAAATTTAGTCTCATAAATAACACATGTTTAAAGCTCAGGTCTGTAACTTTAGTCTCATAAATAACACATGTTTAAAGCTCAGGTCTGTAACTTTAGTCTCATAAATAACACATGTTTAAAGCTCAGGTCTGTAACTTTAGTCTCATAAATAACACATGTTTAAAGCTCAGGTCTGTAACTTTAGTCTCATAAATAACACAGGGAACATATTTTGTGTGAGAAAGATCCCTGTGAGTCACTCTTTGCCTCTTTGGGGCTGAGATCTGTTGTGGTCTGAAAGTTACAGACCCGAGCTTTAAAGTCAGTCTGGGTCAGTCTCAGCTCAATCCTGGTCTTCATCCTTTATTCTGAGCAACTCCTGATGAAATAAAATCACTGTAAAGAGTCTTGTGTTGTCTGTGTGTGTTCAGTGTGTGTGTGTGTGTGTGTGTGTGTGTGACAAAGTTCTAGTCAGACCTGGATGATTATTAAACCTGTACAGACATAAAAGTGTCTCTTTTAAACCTGCAGAACCTGACTTTAATCTTATACACGCTGTAGACACACAAGTACACACACCCACAGAAGTACACAAGGACACACACACACACCTACCTGCTGCAGCAATGGGGAAGTGGTTGAAACTATGCTTGGCAGCTCTGAAGGATTCTCTTTCTGCACAGTCTCATGTTAGCTCCTAATTATCTCCCTCTGGTCTCTCTGGTCTCTCTCTGGCCTCTCTCTGGTCTCTCTCTGGCCTCTCTCTGGTCTCTCTCTGGTCTCTCTCTGGTCTCTCTCTGGTCTCTCTCTGGTCTCTCTCTGGTCTCTCTCTGGTCTCTCTCTGGTCTCTCTCTGGTCTCTCTCTGGTCTCTCTCTGGTCTCTCTCTGCTCTCTCTCTCGTCTCTTTGGTCTCTCGCAGGTTTTTAAGATGTCTTTCATCATTGCTATAGACTTTGGAACGTCTTTCAGTGGTTTTGCCTTCAGCTTGAGTCCTTCCACTGCAGAGATGGTTCCTCAAGTGAAACTGTGGATGAAACGTTTGGGAGTGAAGACCTCCAAGACCCCCACGTGTGTCCTGCTGGACCAGGACGCTCAGCTCCAGGCGTTTGGATACAAGGCTCAGGAGAAGTTCTTCAAAATGAAGACAGGCGCCACAGATTACTATTACTTTACAGACTTTAAGATGAGTCTTTATAAAAAGGTGAGCTCCACTTTCTCTCATCGTACAGAAGAACTGCCCCCATGACCACAAAGCTCCTCTGGTCTCTCTCTGCTCTCTCTCTGCTCTCTCTCTGGTCTCTCTCTGATCTCTCTCTCTGATCTCTCTCTCTGGTCTCTCTCTCTGGTCTCTCTCTGGTCTATCTCTGGTCTCTCTCTGGTCTCTCTCTCTGGTCTCTCTCTTATCTCTCTCTGGTCTCTCTCTTATCTCTCTCTGGTCTCTGGTCTCTCTCTGGTCTCTCTCTGGTCTCTCTCTTATCTCTCTCTGGTCTCTCTGGTCTCTCTCTGATCTCTCTCTGGTCTCTCTCTGCTCTCTCTCTGGTCGCTCTCTGCTCTCTCTCTGGTCTCTCTCTGGTCTCTCTCTGGTCTCTCTCAGGTGAATAACATGTGAACGCTTATGTTGTACATTGTGTGGTTGCTTGATGGTCATTCATTCGTTTGTGTGAATGTTGCTTCATTGTATGTCAAGTTACTATTTTGTTAATACATGGTACCATGTGGTGGGGGAGTTTGAGTACTCGAGTAATCCTGGGATCTATGTTTTCTGGAGCGCAGACCAAAACCCATCATGGATCACACTAAAAAAATATTAGTAATGTCGCCCGGCCGGGGCCCCACCCTGGAGCCAGGTCTGGGGTTGGGGCTCGAAAGCCAAAACAGGAGCTACATCAGGACTAAACCGGGACTAAACCAGGACTAAACCAGGGTTGACAATAGGGATGTACCGAATCCAGGATTCGGTTTCGGATTCGGCCGAATATTGGCTTTTTTTTGACGGGGTTCGGTTTCTGGCAAACCTTTGAATTTTTGCCCACCGAACCGAACCCTGCTTACACTACACTGTGGCTGCTAATTGATCCATGTGTGGCTGCTGGATTCGTCCCCGAAACCGGATTTGTCCGGAAGTTCAGTTTGCGGATGTCAAATAGTGTAAATAAACATGTAAACAGTTTGTGTTGTTATATACAGATTATATTATTGATTTGTGCTCATGTGCATCAAGGTTTATTACGAGAAATGGCAGGAAAAAAGATTCGAGAAAAAAATACTTCTAGTAGCCGGAAGCTAGCGCCCAGATGCGTTCAAAGGCACACGGAAATGTGGGAAACACATAGACAGTTTACCATTTTATTCCGAATAATGATTTCAGAAATACAACACAGGGACATAACAGGTGTATGATGATTAAACAAGTAAAGGACAGTGAATCTAAACAAGAATAAAAACTGTATGTGTTAGCCTCATTTCCTCGTGCCTTTGAACGCATCTGGGCGCTCGCTGTGCGCCTACTAAAAGTATTTTTCTCGAATACAGTAGCTCAGGCTGTGTGAGTGAGAAAGTGAAAATGGAACTTGTGAGCAGAAAAAGTGTTGTTTGGCAGAACTTTCAGTCCAAAGAAGGTGATTCTAGTCGAGCTGTTCAATCTGCAACGCTGATGTGTCTCGTGGTGGTCAGGACCCTAAACCGTACACAACATCGCCGCTGTTAAAACATTTGCGCAGGAAACATTTGCGAATGAAACATTAATGGACTGAGGATGGAGTAGTTTCGGATTCGGCAGAATCTTAACTATTGGATTCGGTATTCGGCCAAACCCCAAAAATCTGGATTCGGTACATCCCTAGTTGACAATGGGAGACTGTGTGCTTGTGAATATATGCGTGGTCATGCTCCCGTGACTTCATGCAACTGCTTCGGGTGTGTTCGCCGATGCAGAAGTACTGTTTAATAATAAAAATAAACGTATTATAAAGTCCGTGGAAGGTCTCTGAACACAGCCACGCTTCAAAGCTGCATTATTGGAGAAGATCTGTACACAAGAAGCCGCTAGCTAAACTCTGTTAGCATCAGAGCCCGCCGGCTACTTCCGTCTCTTCCCCGCGCGCCAGGACTTCTGGTATAAAGACCCCTGCGTTTGAAAACTAGAGAATGTGCGTTTCAGCGTTGCCGGTCTGAAAGCACCAATAGCCCACGGGGCTCAGCCCAGAAAGAACGACGCGGGCAGGCCCTCCTGTGGACCCACCACCCACAGAGGGATCAGCCGTGGTTCGGTGCAGAGAGGACTGGGCAGCAGCCGAAGGCAGAGGCCTCGACAACCCAGTCCACACACCCAACATCTGGCTTTTGGGACGTGGAACGTCACCTCACTGGGGGGGAACGAGCCCGAGGTCGTGGGGGAGGTTGAGAAATACCGACTAGTGATAGTCGGCCTCACCTCCACACACAGCTTGGGCTCTGGAGCCCAACTCCTTGAAAGGGGTTGGACGCTCACCTTTTCTGGTGTTTCTCGCGGGGTGAGGTGGCGAGCTGGGGTGGCCATACTCATTGACCCCTATCTCAGCCGCCACGTAGCCTTACAGCAGTGCAGAGTACTCGTCCTTCTTGGAGACTGAAACGCCCATGTGGGAAATGCCAGTGACACTTGGAGAGGGGTGATTGGGAAGAACAGCCCCCCTGATCTGGACTTCTGTGCCAGTCACAGTTTGTCCATCACGAACATCATGTTCGAGCACAAGGGTGTCCACCAGTGCACTTGGCACCAGGACACCATAGGCCAGAGGTCACTGATCGACTTTATTGTAATGTCGTCTGACCTTTGACGGCGTGTCTCAGATACTCAGGTGAAGAGAGGGGCGGAGCTAAAGAGAGGGGCGGAGCTGTCAACCGATCACCACCTGCTCGTGAGTTGGATCCGCTGGCAGGGGAGGAAGCCGATCAGACCTGGCAGACCCAAGCGTGTAGTGAGGGTCTGCTGGGAACGACTCGCTGAGCCCCCTGTCAGACGGACTTTCACCTCTGGGAGAGCTTCTCCCAGGTCCCGGCGGTGAAGGGGGACATCGAGTCTGAGTGGACCAGGTTCTCTTCCTCTATCACCGATTGCTGTAGCTGCCCGGGCTGTTGCAGAGGTAAAAACCCAGGACTGGGAGGAGTTTGGAGAGTCCATGGAACATATCTATCGGTCGGGCTCGAAGATATTCTGGCAAACTGTACGGCGCCTCAGGAGGGGAATGCAGTTCTTTGCCAACATCGTGTAGGGTGGAGGGCTGCTGACCTCGACTGGGGATATTGTTGGCCGGGAAGGAATACTTTGAGGTTCTCCTCAATCCTCCTGTTACGCCCTCCGTTCTGGAGGTAGAGGCTGTGGATGTTGGAGCGGATACTTCCACCTCTCTGGCTGAGGTCACCAAGGTGGTTGGCAGCCTCCTTGGTGGCAAGGCTCCAGGATGAGATCTGTCCTGACTCTGAAGTCTCTGGATGTTGTAGGACTGTCTTGGCTGACACGTCTCAGCAACATCGGGGGCAGTGCCAATGGAGTGGCAGACTGGGGTGGTGGTCCCTCTCTACAAGAAGGGGGACCGAAGGGTGTGTTCCAAATATCATAGGATCACACACACACTCACAATGTTGTCCTGTTGGCTCAAATGAACCAGGACCTGCAGCATGCACTGGGACGGTTTGCAGCCGAGTGTGAAGCGGCTGGGATGAGAATCAGCTCCACATCTGAGGCCATGGTGCTCGACTGGAAAAAGGTGCCTTGCCCTCTCCGGGTGGAGAGATCCTTCCTCAAGTGGAGGAGTTCAAGTATCTCTGGGTCTGTTGTAGTGAAGAGGGAGCTGAGCTAAATGCTAAAGCTAGGCTAAATGCCTCACTCCCTCGGGCACGTTACATATGTCACGGTAAACTCTGAACCAATCTTTTCAATCTGCAAAAGGAGGTAACCCTCCCTCCTGTTAACGGAGTCAATGGAGCAAATCCAGACTTAAGTAGGAAATGAAATGAGTACGATGGTAAGTAGTTGGTTTTACATGTGTGTGTGTGTGTTTCCTGAGCAGAAAATCACAAAAGGTCTGATGATCCACGATGTGAACAAGCGTCCGATGAGTGCGCTGACGGTGTTCTCTGCGGCGCTGAGGTTTCTGAAGGACGACGCCCTCAACACCATCAACACCATCAACAAGTCCAACAGAACGAGGTTCACTGCCGCAGACTTCAGCTGGGTCCTCACGGTGCCGGCCATCTGGGACAACGCTGCACGACAGTTCATGAGAGACGCTGCTGTCGAGGTTTGTACCACGCCCCCCTGTGCCGAACCGCGGTACTGAAGCTTCTGCAGTTTTCAAACTGTAGAGAGACCCTCAGGCTCAGACTCGGGACTGGTCTATAAGAGCTCTGTGCTTAATGTGTTCTTTCTCATTTCTACCATCCTCATTCTCGGAGCTGACCCAGGCTGAAAGTGAATTCCTTCTCCAACACTAAACTGGTTTGTGCGGGAAACCCCAAGATACAACAGTACTTTCACCATCAATATTACATTTATGTCTCACTCTCTCTCCCTCAATTTTTTGTCTCTCTCTTGTCCCTCTCTGGTCTCTCTCTGGTCTCTCTGGTCTCTCTCTGGTCTCTCTCTGGTCTCTCTGGTCTCTCTGGTCACTCTCTGGTCTCTCTGGTCACTCTCTGGTCTCCCTCTGGTCTCTCTGGTCTCTTTCTGGTCTCTCGGGTCTCTCGCTGGTCTCTCTGGTCTCTCTCTGTTCTCTCTGGTCTCTCTCTGGTCTCTCTGGTCTCTCTCTGGTCTCTCTCTGGTCTCTCTCTGGTCTCTCTCTGGTCTCTCTGGTCTCTGGTCTCTCTCTGGTCTCTCGGGTCTCTCTCTGGTCTCTCTGGTCTCTCTCTGTTCTCTATGGTCTCTCTGGTCTCTCTCTGTTCTCTCTGGTCTCTCTGGTCTCTCTCTGGTCTCTCTCTGGTCTCTCTCTGGTCTCTCTCTGGTCTCTCTCTGGTCTCTCTCTGGTCTCTCTCTGGTCTCTCTCTGGTCTCTCTCTGGTCTCTCTCTGGTCTCTCTCTGGTCTCTCTCTGGTCTCTCTCTGGTCTCTCTCTGGTCTCTGGTCTCTCGGGTCTCTCTCTGGTCTCTCGGGTCTCTCTCTGGTCTCTCGGGTCTCTCTCTGGTCTCTCTGGTCTCTCTCTGGTCTCTCTCTGGTCTCTCTCTGGTCTCTCTGGTCTCTCTCTGGTCTCTCTCTGGTCTCTCTCTGTTCTCTCTGGTCTCTCTCTGTTCTCTCTGGTCTCTCTCTGTTCTCTCTGGTCTCTCTCTGGTCTCTCTCTGGTCTCTCTCTGGTCTCTCTCTGTTCTCTCGGGTCTCTCTCTGGTCTCTCTGGTCTCTCTGTTCTCTATGGTCTCTCTGGTCTCTCTCTGGTCTCTCTGGTCTCTCTCTGGTCTCTCTCTGGTCTCTCTCTGTTCTCCCTGGTCTCTCTCTGTTCTCTCTGGTCCCTCTCTGGTCTCTCTCTGTTCTCTCTGGTCTCTCTCTGTTCTCTCTGGTCTCTCTGGTCTCTCTGGTCTCTCTCTGGTCTTTCTGGTCTCTTTCTGGTCTCTCTCTGGTCTCTCTCTGGTCTCTCTCTGGTCTCTCTGTTCTCTATGGTCTCTCTGGTCTCTCTCTGGTCTCTCTGGTCTCTCTCTGGTCTCTCTCTGGTCTCTCTCTGTTCTCCCTGGTCTCTCTCTGTTCTCTCTGGTCCCTCTCTGGTCTCTCTCTATTCTCTCTGGTCTCTCTGGTCTCTCTGGTCTCTCTCTGGTCTTTCTGGTCTCTCTCTGGTCTCTCTCTGGTCTCTCTCTGGTCTCTCTGGTCTCTCTGGTCTCATGTGTTCAGGCTGGGATCGTGTCCTCGTCCTCTGAGGACAAACTGTTGATTGCTCTGGAGCCAGAGGCTGCTTCAGTTTGGTGCAAACAGCTTCCAGCCAAAGGCTTCATCAGAGACGGACAGGAGCGAGTGCAGCTGCAGGAGGGCGAGCAGTACGTGGTCCTGGACTGTGGAGGTAACGTGACGCTTACCATGACAACAGGTCATACTAGAACAGCTGTAAGGATCTTCTGTGTTTCAGGAGGAACCATCGACATTACAGTTCATGAAGTCCTTGAAGGGGGAGCCCTTAAAGAGCTGCACAAAGCATCAGGAAACAACAAAGGAGGACGAAGAGTGAACAAGAGGTTTAACCAGTGTCTGAGAGAGTTCTTCTGTGGCGGTCTGTGGGAAGACTACGAGAGAGAGTTTCCAAAAGAGGCTCAGACGTTTGTGGAGGATTTCATTTACCAAGCGGCCCCACAGAGCTGTGTTTATAAGACCCACATCGACAGAAGTTTAAGGCAAAAGTTAAAAAGGATCGAAAAGTCTCAGGAAGAGGGCGACTCTCTGTTCAACCCCATGGAAGGTGTGGAGCTGGAGGGGGACAAACTGAGCGTCTCAGAGAAGAAGATGGAGTCTTTCTTCCATGAGAGTCTGGTCCACATCACTGACAGTCTGTACGAGATCCTGGACTCACATTCTCAGATACAGTACATTCTGTTAGTGGGAGGTTTCTCTCAGAGCAGGATCCTCTGTGACCATGTGCGCCAACAGTTCAGTGACCGGGCCAGAGTGCTGTGCCCTAAGAACCCTCAGGAGGCCATTCTGAAGGGAGCTGTGGTGTTCGCACGAGACCAGGCGGTCATCCGCTCTCGCAAGAGCGCATTCACGTACGGCTATGTCAAGATGCGCAGGTTTGATCCAAGAATACATAAACCAGAGAAGAAGTTGACCAACGCCGACGGGGACTGGTGTGACGACCTGTTTGGAAAACTAGTGGAAATAGGTGAAGATGTGGGATGGAACCAAAGTGTAGAATACATATTAAAGCCAATCACAGAAAATCAAACAGTCATGGATTTTGAGTTCTACCGCACTGAGAGGAAGTCTGTGACATACGTGGATGAGTGGGGGGTGGAGGGTCCTGTGGCCTGCTGTACTGTGGCCATGCCAGACACCAGCAAAGGCATGGATCGTAGAGTCAAACTGGAGGTGTTCTTTGGCTCCACTGAGATCAGAGCAAAGGCCACAGACCAGGAGTCGAACTGCACTGCTTCTGTCAAAATAGACTTCATCGGGAAATGAACGATGATGTCATGAAGAACGTGACGTTCTTTCAGTCTGTCCTTTGAACTGGAGCTTCTGTCTGGTTTGTCTGGTTTTTGTAGTGTCTCCAGGTCCTGGTCCTCTCCGGTCCTAGTCCTCTCCGGTCCTGGTCCTCTCCGGTCCTGGTCCTCTCCGGTCCTGGTCCTCTCCGGTCCTGGTCCTCTCCGGTCCTGGTCCTCTCCGGTCCTGGTCCTCTCCGGTCCTGGTCCTCTCCGATCCTGGTCCTTACACATAATGCCAAACAAAGCTGCTGACTGTGCCTTTAAACTTAAATGTTGGATCATATTTAAGACAGTTGGAGCAGATCCTTCTCTCAATGTGAGCCTCTTTGAGGTTTCTCACTTTCTCTCTCTGGGTTTTTAACTTGTTCAGGATTAGTATGACCTGTGGACCTCTAGTGATTTGTGTTCATTACGGAGGAGGTCCGTGTGTTGTGTCTGTGATTCATAAGAACATGTCCAAACACAGATGATTCTGAGGTCTGTGTCGCTGTGACTGATACTTTCACTTTAGCCGTGACTGCTGTGTCCCACAGAAGGTCATTAAACAACAGTTTAAAGGACCAACAAAGTGAAACTGAAACTTCATGTTTCAATCTGATGATGCAGTCGCTTTTAAGATATTCTGTTGCTTCTTGAATCGGTCTATTAAATCTGCAAAGCACAGGTACAGGACAAGTTTAAGGAACAGGTTAAATGTATTTATTTGATGTAAATAAATAACAGTTACATTGGACAGACCAGATGCCTTTAGTGTTAGAGCAAGACCAGGCTAGTTTTCAACACTTGTCCACAGAAGGATTTTAGGACACAAATGCACACATTTAAAATGTACAAACATAAAAGTAATTAAATATACAGTTAATTAACCATGTGAACAACGTTTCAGATGTTTCAGATGTCTTCAGTTTCAGACGTCTGACGAAGATGTTTTTGTCTGTTTGTAGTTTTAGGTCAGTGGGAAGAGCGTTCCACAGTTTGGTTCTGTTGTAGAAATTTAATAACCTGGCAAGAGCCAGATTGATGATTGTGTAGAACTCTAACGCGTTCTCCGCGATATAAATCTGGGATTTCTCCCGGAGAATCCTTTCGGGGAAAGGAGGGATAAGCAGCAGAATACTTCAAGCTGATTGGGCGAAGTGACGCTGTGTGCCCGCCTACACTCTTGCCAAAACCCGTAGGTAAAAATGCACAAACATCTTTGCCGTCCAGAAATGCACAAAGCGCCTCTCGCTGTTCATCTTTCAAAAAAGAAATTGGAGATTCTGCTAAAACTGACTTGATAGCCTCAGCTACGCGTCCGTCCTCCTGCGTAGCCATGTTTGTTTTGCTTCGGCCCGGCACTTCTTGCTTTCGTCAAACCCGGATATCCCGCCCTAAACCCCCAGACTGGCGCGTGATTGGCTCGCACACCCAGTGGTTCGACTCGAAAAGTGTAAGCGGGAGCGGTACAAGATGTATTCTCGAGTGTTTGTGAACTCACAAATACCGCGAGAATTCAGCTTGCAGGCAAGGTTAGAAATTTAACAGGGATTATAAATCAATTTAACTCAAGAATGAATCTAATAATGAATCATGCACTCTGGGACAAAGGTCAAGCTGACAATCTATTGATTTTGTAGAAGCGCGAGGCCAGGGACGGGAGAGGGAGAGATGCTAGCTTGGAATCTAGTCCAAGGAGCACGGTGCTTCGGTCATTCTACTCGTAATATCAGAGTCATATCAGAGTCGTATCAGAGTCGTATCAGAGTAAGACGTCAGGAGAGAGGGGTTTTGAGCGACTGTTACCACTTCATCTCGGACTAAGAGACGCCAATTGATAGACTCTTTTGTTTGTTCCATCCTTTAAATACGGGAGAGAGTGAGCAGTCGTCAGATCTACTCGAGACCCGCCACGCGGTTGACGGTTGTATTTCCTGTATATGTACATTTACTGAAATAATAAACCACACTTTCATTGTTTTACTCTGGTTCTGGTGTTCGGAACCAGACAGTCCCCACTGACCGAGGCTCTGGTGTTAGGAACCAGACAGCCCCCACTGACCGAGGTTCTGGTTTTCGGAATCAGACAGCCCCCTCTGACCGAGGCTCTGGACTTAGGAACCAGACAGCCTCCACTGACCGAGGCTCTGGTGTTAGGAACCAGACAGCCCCCTCTGACCGAGGCTCTGGTGTTAGGAACCAGACAGCTCCCACTGACCGAGGCTCTGGACTTAGGAACCAGACAGCTCCCACTGACCGAGGCTCTGGACTTAGGAACCAGACAGCCCCCACTGACCGAGGCTCTGGACTTAGGAACCAGACAGCCCCCTCTGACCGAGGCTCTGGACTTAGGAACCAGACAGCCCCCTCTGACCGAGGCTCTGGTGTTAGGAACCAGACAGCCCCCACTGACCGAGGCTCTGGTGTTAGGAACCAGACAGCCCCCTCTGACCGAGGCTCTGGTGTTAGGAACCAGACAGCCCCCACTGACCGAGGCTCTGGTGTTAGGAACCAGACAGCCCCCACTGACCGAGGCTCTGGTGTTAGGCCTTCGAGAGCCTTGGCGTCTGACAGACCAGAGAGCAGCGGTGGAACGTGACCAGTTAAACATTTAAAAAACCATTTAATTGTGCAAAAGCTTACAAAATGTTCAAATGTTAAAAGTTTATGTTTTTTAATGATGTGACCTCAAAGGTTTCCTGTCGTAGACCTTGATGGTTGTACAGGGACGTGACTTTAGAGTTGTCTGTGGAGTTTGCGACCACGAGGTCAGGCAACAGGAGAGATGTGAAAATATCCTTCCGACAGTCATACGACAGCTCTCTTCTTATGAAGCGGAAGCAGCTCAAGTTTGACTTGACTGTTTTACACACACTTTTCACCTGACTTTGGAACTTTAAATTGTTGTCAGATTATTCCTAAATACTTGGTCTCTTTCACCTCTTCAATTATTTCATTGTCTATAAATGTCTCAAACAAAATATTTGACGATTGTGCTTTAGTTGAGAAACAAATTGAAACGTTTTTTTGACGTTTAAAGTCAATTGTGATTGTTGAAGCCAAGTTGAAATATTTACCAAGGCTTCAGTCAACTGCTGCCCAGCTAGAGCAGAGGTCTTTGCCGGCACGTGAATAACTGAGTCATCTGCATAGAGCTGGCAGTTGAAACCATGACAACAGTTTGGGAGGTCATTTATGTACATAGAAAACAGCAGTGGTCCTAACACGGAGCCTTGCGGTACTCCCGTGTACTTCAGGGCTTCAGTTTTTTCAATAAAACACTGTGGTCCACAGTATCAAACTTTTTAAGATCTAAAAACACAGCACCAACCACTTGACCTTTGTCTACACTGTTCTTGATCTGTTCCAGCAGGTGACAGTTCGCTGTTTCCGTGCTGTATCTTTGTCTAAACCCAAACTGTAGGGGATGGAGCAGCTGCTTTGACTCTACCAGTTGTTCTGCAACTACCTTCTCCAAGATTTTAGAAACAACAGGAAGGATGGAAATAGGCCTGTAGTTGTTAGGCGTGTCCTTTTGGCCTGTCTTGAGGATCGGTGTCACTACAGCCGTTTTCCAGCAACTTGGGAATGTATTGGACCGGATTGACAGATTTACCAGATGTGTGATGGGCTCTAACAGAGTATCTGTGTGTTTTTAATCAGTCCCAAAGACCTGTGCTCTGCCAACTGACCTACTGTCCCTACTTTAAATATTCCTAAATACTTGGTCTCTTTCACCAAGATCTAAGATCATGGATGTCTTTTGACATCGAGTTGCTCATGTTCATCTTGATTTTTATTTAACTTTGTCACGAGACACCTTCTTTATGCAAAATAAATGCAAGTTCATTCACAGAATCAATAAAGACATTGTTCAGAGCTTCTGCCATGGACTGGTTTGATTATGTCTCCTCGTGAAGGGACGGGTTAAAGGGACGGGTTAAAGGGACGGGTTAAAGGGACGGGTTAAAGGGACATGTTAAAGGGACGGGTTAAAGGGACATGTTAAAGGGACGGGTTAAAGGGACATGTTAAAGGGACATGTTAAAGGGACGGGTTAAAGAGATTCCATGGTTGTTCAATCAGGTGCCTTCTCCATGACTCAGCAGGAAGTCCAGCGGGTCTGATCCAGGACCTCAGTCCGGAAAGCCCCAGACCCGGACGACATCCCTCCTCGGGTCCTGAAACTGTGCTCCTGTTTTTATAAACATTTTCAACCTGTCCCTAAAGAACTGTCTGTGCTTTAAAGAGTCGACCATCACAGAAGGAGACCAGAGAGAGACCATAGAGACCATAGAGAGACCAGAGAGGGACCATAGAGACCATAGAGAGACCAGAGAGAGACCAGAGAGAGACCATAGAGAGACCAGAGAGAGACCAGTGAGAGACCAGAGAGACCAGAGAGAGACCAGAGAGAGACCATAGAGAGACCAGAGAGAGACCAGAGAGAGACCAGAGAGAGACCAGAGAGAGACCAGAGAGGGACCAGAGAGGGACCATAGAGACCATAGAGAGACCAGAGAGGGACCATAGAGACCATAGAGAGACCAGAGAGGGACCAGAGAGAGACCAGAGAGAGACCATAGAGACCATAGAGAGACCAGAGAGGGACCAGAGAGAGACCATAGAGAGACCAGAGAGGGACCATAAAGACCATAGAGAGACCAGAGAGAGACCAGAGAGAGACCATAGAGAGACCAGAGAGAGACCATAGAGAGACCAGAGAGGGACCAGAGAGAGAGACCAGAGAGAGACCAGAGAGAGACCATAGAGAGAGACCATAGAGACCATAGAGAGACCAGAGAGAGACCATAGAGAGACCAGAGAGAGAGACCATAGAGAGACCATAGAGAGACCATAGAGAGAGACCATAGAGAGACCATAGAGAGACCATAGAGAGACCAGAGAGAGACCAGAGAAAGAGACCAGAGAGAGACCATAGAGAGAGACCAGAGAGAGACCATAGAGAGAGACCATAGAGACCATAGAGAGACCAGAGAGAGACCAGAGAGAGACCATAGAGACCATAGAGAGACCATAGAGAGAGACCATAGAGAGACCATAGAGAGACCATAGAGAGACCAGAGAGAGACCAGAGAGAGAGACCAGAGAGAGACCAGAGAGAGCGAGACCAGAGAGAGACCAGAGAGAGACCAGAGAGAGACCATAGAGAGAGACCAGAGAGAGACCAGAGAGAGACCAGAGAGAGACCAAGAGAGAGACCAGAGAGAGACCAGAGAGAGACCAGAGAGAGACCATAGAGAGACCAGAGAGAGAGACCAGAGAGAGACCAGAGAGGGACCAGAGAGAGACCAGAGAGAGACCAGAGAGAGACCAGAGAGAGACCAGAGAGAGACCAGAGAGAGACCAGAGAGAGACCAGAGAGAGACCAGAGAGGGACCAGAGAGAGACCAGAGAGGGACCAGAGAGAGACCAGAGAGAGACCAGAGAGAGACCAGAGAGAGACCAGAGAGGGACCAGAGAGAGACCAGAGAGAGACCAGAGAGAGGACCAGTGTAGAACCATGAATCTTCTCTGCTCTGGTCTGGACCAGTGTAAAACCATGAATCCTCTCTGCTCCGGTCTGGACCAGTGTAAAACCATGAATCCTCTCTGCTCTGGTCTGGACCAGTGTAAAACCATGAATCCTCTCTGCTCTGGTCTGGACCAGTGTAAAACCATGAATCCTCTCTGCTCTGGTCTGGACCAGTGTAAAACCATGAACACTGAACTGCAGCAACATCTCAGGCAGAAAATAAGCAAGAAAAATAAAAATTGTAAAACACAAAAACTGTTTCACTGTTTCAGAGACACGTAAGACTTGCCGTTTCCAGCACTTTCAACCCATAATGATAAATAAATATTACATTTTGATGATCAGACGGATTGATCTTATGACTGGTAGTAATACATATTATCAAGTAATTTTAAAGATATATATTGTAGGAAGCCTACTCTTTTGAGGTTTTCATGGGGTCTGATAGCGTAATCTCACTCTGATCTATTGTACAAGGTTATAGTGGTCGGAAATTGGAGCACCTGGAGGAAACCTATGCAGACACAGGGAGAACATACAAACTGCTCACATAAGGACCTTGTCTGAAAGTGGACCCAGGACTTTCTAGGTGTGAAAAACAAGCGCTGCCCACATGACTGTCACAGGTGATACACGTCGACCTGAGAGGAGGAGAGGAAACTTCCCCTCAGATTCATCCGTGTCTGTGGGCGCGTCTGTGTCTGTGTCTGTGGACGTATCTGTGTCTGTGGACGTGTCTGTGTCTGTGTCTGTGGACATGTCTGTGTCTGTGGACGTGTCTGTGGACGTGTCTGTGTCTGTGGACGCGTCTGTGTCTGTGGACGTGTCTGTGTCTGTGTCTGTGGACGTGTCTGTGTCTGTGGACGTGTCTGTGTCTGTGGACGCGTCTGTGTCTGTGGACGTGTCTGTGTCTGTGGACGTGTCTGTGTCTGTGGACGTGTCTGTGTCTGTGTCTGTGTCTGTGGACGTGTCTGTGTCTGTGTCTGTGGACGCGTCTGTGTCTGTGGACGTGTCTGTGGGCGTATCTGTGTACGTGTCTGTGGACGTATCTGTGTCTGTGTCTGTGGACGTATCTGTGTCTGTGGACGTATCTGTGTCTGTGGACGTGTCTGTGGACGTATCTGTGTCTGTGTCTGTGGACGTATCTGTGTCTGTGGACGTGTCTGTGGACGTGTCTGTGGACGTATCTGTGTCTGTGGACGTGTCTGTGGACGTATCTGTGGACGTATCTGTGTCTGTGGACGTATCTGTGTCTGTGGACGTGTCTGTGTCTATGATCGTGTCTGTGGACGTGTCTGTGTCCGTGTCTGTGTCCGTGTCTATGATCGTGTCTGTGTACGTGTTTCCTGGAATCCTCCGCTGATCTCGTTCTTCTGGTTCTTCTGGTTCCTTTGGTTCTTCTGGTGCACACAGAGCAGCTGCAGGATCACTGCATCAAACACAGCGCAGTGAGCAGTAGGTAACAACTCTTATTTCTATGTAAGTCTAGAAGTAGAAGTAGCAGTAGTAGTAGTAGTAGTAGTAGTAGCAGTAGCAGTGGTTGTAGTGCTAGTAGCAGCAGCATTAGCAGAAGTAGGCGTGGCAGTAGCAGTAGTAGCAGTAATAGCAGTAGTAGCAGTAATAGCAGTAGTAGCAGTAGTAGCAGGAGTATTGTGTGTCCATGAAGTAGCGGTCAGATGCAGAGGTCGGCCGTCCCCTCGGACGCCGTGCCCTCCGGCTGGGCCTGTGGAGCCGTCAGAGCTTTGTCCAGATCCAGGTCAGAAAAACATGTTTTTATTTTTGTGCCTGAGACAAATATGAACAAACCACACTGTGCTCTCTCTGTGCAGGCGCTCCATCAGGAGGTGGAGCAAAGACCAGTCCAGGTGAGAACCCTGTCCCAAACCCCGGGCCAAACCCCAGGCCAAACCCCGGGCCAAACCTCAGGCCAAACCCTGGGCCAAACCCCAGGCCAAACCCCAGGCCAAACCCCAGCTCAAACCTGGGCTAAACCCCGGGCTAAACCCCGGGCTAAACCGGGGGCCAAATCCCAGGCCAAACCCCAACACAAAAGGGTCATCTTCATCCCATTCTGCTTTGTGCAGCTCCAGTCCGTCCCAGAAAGAGTACCCCACCAGTTCAACCCGGAGGAACGAGTACCCCACCAGTCAGCCCCGGAGGAACGAGTACCCCACCAGTCAGCCCCGGAGGAACGAGTACCCCACCAGTCAGCCCCGGAGGAACGAGTACCCCACCAGTCAGCCCCGGAGGAACGAGTACCCCACCAGTCCGACTCGGGGAGAGGCGTTCTTCACTGACAGGTACTGAATCTCCCTCCTTCTGTCGCCTTTGTAGCCTGTATATCGATGCATAATGCAACCCTGCTCAATGAAGTGCTCATGGTGAAGTTTGGCTCCTCTTGACTTCCATGTAAAAGTAAACTCAGAAACTGTTTTGGTCTAAATCTGTGGTTTAGTGCTTTCTGTTTAAATCTTCAATGTCTTCTGGATTTGGCCAACACTATGATGTCGTCACACTCTGGACTGAGACTCTGGACTGAGACTCAGGCTGAGACTCTGGACTGAGACTCTGGACTGAGACTCTGGACTGAGACTCTGGACTGAGACTCTGGACTGAGACTCTGGACTGAGACTCTGGACTGAGACTCTGGACTGAGACTTGGGCTGAGACTCGGACTGAGACTCTGGACTGAGACTCTGGACTGAGACTCGAGACTGAGACTCGGGCTGAGACTCGGACTGAGACTCGGGTTGAGACTCGGGATTGGGATTGAGACTCTGGCTGAGACTCGGGATTGAGACTTGGACTGAGACTCGGGACTGAGACTCTGACTGAGACTCGGACTCAGACTTGGACCGGCAGTAAATGAGCCGTTCTAAGTTTACAGGAGATGACGTCACACCTCTCTGTGCATACAGCCAGTTCACCTGTAACTATGATGTCATCATGATGACTTCATGATGACATCATGACATCAGGATGACATCATGACATTATGATGTCATCATGATGACTTCATGATGTCATCATTTGTTGTAAACTAAAAAATATGAGTCTCAACTATTTCAGGATCAATGAACTCACGCAAGAGAACCAGCGACTCCGGTAAGTGTGTGTTTAATGTGTGTGTGTTTACTGTGTGTGTGTTTAATGTGTGTGTGTTTAATGTGTGTGTGTTTAACGTGTGTGTTTAACGTGTGTGTTGTGTGTGTGTTTAATGTGTGTGTTTAATGTGTGTGTTTAATGTGTGTGTTTAATGTGTGTGTGTTTGATGTGTGTGTTTAATGTGTGTGTGTTTAATGTGTGTGTTTAATGTGTGTGTGTTTGATGTGTGTGTTTAATGTGTGTGTGCTTGATGTGTGTGTGTTTAATGTGTGTGTGATTAATGTGTGTGTTTAATGTGTGTGTGTTTGATGTGTGTGTTTAATGTGTGTGTGTTTAATGTGTGTGTTTAATGTGTGTGTGTTTAATGTGTGTGTTTAATGTGTGTGTGTTTGATGTGTGTGTTTAATGTGTGTGTGTTTAATGTGTGTGTTTAATGTGTGTGTGTTTAATGTATGTGTTTAATGTGTGTGTGTTTAATGTCTGTGTGTTTAATGTATGTGTTTAATGTGTGTGTGTTTAATGTGTGTGTGTTTAATGTGTGTGTGTTTAATGTGTGTGTGTTTAATGTGTGTGTGTTTAATATGTGTGATTAATGTGTGTGTTTAATGTGTGTGTTTAATGTGTGTGTTTAATGTGTGTGTTTAATGTGTTTGTGTTTAATATGTGTGATTAATGTGTGTGTTTAATGTGCGTGTGTTTTATGTGTGTGTTTAATGTGTGTGTGTTTTATGTGTGTGTTTAATGTGCGTGTGTTTAATGTGTGTGTGTTTAATGTGTGTGTGTTTAATGTGTGTGTGTTTAATGTTTGTGTGTTTAATGTGTGTGTTTAATGTGTGTGTGTCTAATGTGTGTGTTTAATGTGTGTGTGTCTAATGTGTGTGTGTTTAATGTGTGTGTGTTTAATGTGTGTGTTTAATGTGTGTGTGTTTAATGTGTGTGTGTTTAATGTGTGTGTTTAATGTGTGTGTTAAATGTGTGTGTGTTTAATGTGTGTGTGTTTATTGTGTGTGTTTACTGTGTGTGTGTTTAATGTGTGTGTTTAATGTGTGTGTGTTTGATGTGTGTGTGTTTAATGTGTGTGTGTTTATTGTGTGTGTTTAATGTGTGTGTGTTTATTGTGTGTGTTTAATGTGTGTGTTTAATGTGTGTGTGTTTAATGTGTGTGTGTGTTTAATGTGTGTGTTTAATGTGTGTGTTTACTGTGTGTGTGTTTAATGTGTGTGTTTGATGTGTGTGTGTTTAATGTGTGTGTTTGATGTGTGTGTGTTTAATGTGTGTTTTTAATGCGTGTGTTTGATTTGTGTGTGTTTAATGTGTGTGTGTTTAATGTGTGTGTTTGATGTGTGTGTGTTTAACGTGTTTAATGTATGTGTTTAATGTGTGTGTGTTTAACGTGTTTAATGTGTGTGTTTGATGTGTTTAATGTGTGTGTTTGATGTGTGTGTGTTTAAAGTGTGTGTTTAATGTGTGTGTGTTTGATGTGTGTGTTTAATGTGTGTGTTTAATGTGTGTGTTTAATGTGTGTGTGTTTGATGTGTGTGTTTAATGTGTGTGTTTAATGTGTGTGTGTTTGATGTGTGTGTGTTTAATGTGTGTGTAATTAATGTGTGTGTTTGATGTGTGTGTGTTTGATGTGTGTGTTTAATGTGTGTGTTTAATGTGTGTGTGTTTAACGTGTGTGTTTGTGTGTTTAATGTGTGTGTGTTTAACGTGTGTGTTTAATGTGTATGTTTAATGTGTGTGTGTTTAATGTGTGTGCTTAATGTGTGTGTGTTTGATGTGTGTGTTATTAATGGTGTGTGTGTGTTTAATGTGGGTGTGTTTGATGTGTGTGTTTAATGTGTGTGTGTGTTTAATGTGTGTGTGATTAATGTGTGTGTGTTTAATGTGTGTGTTTAATGTGTGTGTGTTTGATGTGTGTGTTTAATGTGTGTGTGTTTAATGTGTGTGTTTGATGTGTGTGTGTGATTAATGTGTGTGTGTTTAATGTGTGTGTGTTTAATGTGTGTGTGTTAACTGTGTGTGTGTTTAATGTGTGTGTGTTTGATGTGTGTGTTTAATGTGTGTGTTTGATGTGTGTGTGTGTTTAATGTGTGTGTGTTTAATGTGTGTGTTTAATGTGTGTGTGTTTAATATGTGTGTGTTTAATGTGTGTGTGTGTTAATGTATGTGTTTAATGTGTGTGTGTTTAATGTGTGTGTTTGATGTGTGTGTGTTTAATGTGTGTTTAATGTGTGTGTGTTTTATGTGTGTGTTTAATGTGTGTGTGTTTAATGTGTGTGTGTTTAATGCGTGTTTAATGTGTGTGTGTTTGATGTGTGTGTTTAATGTTTGTGTGTTTAATGTGTGTGTGTCTAATGTGTGTGTGTTTAATGTGTGTGTGTTTAATGTGTGTGTGTTTAATGTGTGTGTGTTTGATGTGTGTGTTTAATGTGTGTGTGCTTAATGCGTGTGTGTGTTAAATGTGTGTGTGTTTAATGTGTGTGTGTTTATTGTGTGTGTTTACTGTGTGTGTGTTTAATGTGTGTGTGTTTAATGTGTGTGTGTTTATTGTGTGTGTTTAATGTGTGTGTGTTTAATGTGTGTGTCTTTAATGTGTGTGTTTACTGTGTGTGTTTAATGTGTGTGTTTGATGTGTGTGTGTGTTTAATGTGTGTGTGTTTGATGTGTGTGTGTTTAATGTGTGTGTGTTTAATGTGTGTGTGTTTAATGTGTGTGTGTTTATTGTGTGTGTTTAATGTGTGTGTGTTTAATGTGTGTGTCTTTAATGTGTGTGTTTACTGTGTGTGTTTAATGTGTGTGTTTGATTGTGTGTGTGTTTAATGTGTGTGTGTTTAATGCGTGTGTTTGATTTGTGTGTGTTTAATGTGTGTGTGTTTAATATGTGTGTGGTTTAATGTGTGTGTTTGATGTGTGTGTGTTTTAATGTGTGTGTTTGTGTTTGTGTTTGTGTGTGTTTTTGTGTGTTGTTGTGTTGTTGTTTGTGTGTGTTTGTTGTGTGTGTGTTTGTTGTGTGTTGTGTTGTGTTGTTTGTGTGTTTGTGTTGTTTTGTGTTGTGTGTTTTGTGTTGTGTTGTTGTGTTTGTGTGTTGTGTTTGTGTTTTTGTGTGTGTTGTTGTGTTTTGTGTGTGTTTGTGTTTGTTGTGTTTTGTTTGTGTGTTTTGTGTGTTGTTTGTTTGTTGTGTTTGTTGTTTGTTGTGTTGTGTGTGTTGTTGTTTGTGTGTTGTGTGTTTTTGTGTTTGTGTTGTGTGTGTTTGTTGTGTTGTGTTTGTGTGTGTTGTGTGTTGTGTTTTGTGTTGTTGTGTTTTGTGTTGTTTGTGTTGTTGTGTTTTTGTTGTGTGTTGTGTGTGTTTTGTGTTGTTTTTGTGTTGTTTGTGTGTTGTGTTGTTTGTGTGTTTGTGTTTGTGTGTGTTTGTTGTTTTGTGTTGTGTTGTGTTGTTGTGTTGTTTGTGTTGTGTTGTTTGTGTTGTTGTGTTTGTGTGTGTGTTTGTGTTGTGTTGTTGTTGTGTGTGTTTTGTGTGTGTTTTGTGTTGTGTGTTGTGTTTTGTGTGTGTTTTGTGTTGTGTGTTTGTGTTTGTTGTGTTGTTTTGTGTTGTGTTGTTTTGTGTTTGTTTGTTGTTTGTTGTGTTTGTGTGTTTTGTGTGTTTGTTGTTTTGTGTTGTTTGTGTGTTTTGTTGTGTTTGTGTGTGTTGTTGTGTGTGTTGTTTGTGTGTTGTGTGTTTGTTTGTTTGTGTTTTGTGTTGTGTTGTTTGTGTGTTGTGTTTGTTTGTGTGTGTTTGTTTTGTGTTTGTTTGTGTTGTGTTTGTGTGTGTTTGTGTTTGTTGTTTGTTTGTGTGTTTTGTTGTGTTGTTTTTGTGTTGTGTTTTGTGTTGTGTTGTTTGTGTGTTTTGGTTGTGTTTTGTGTTGTGTGTTTGTGTGTTGTTGTGTGTTTTGTTGTGTTGTTGTGTTGTGTGTTTGTTGTGTGTGTTGTTTTGTGTTGTGTTTGTTGTGTTTGTTGTGTTGTTTGTGTGTTGTGTTTGTTGTGTTTGTGTGTTGTTTGTGTTGTGTTTTGTGTGTGTTGTGTGTTTTGTTTGTGTGTGTTTGTGTGTTGTTGTTGTGTTGTTTTGTGTTGTGTGTTTTGTGTGTTGTTGTGTGTGTTGTGTGTTGTGTTTTTGTGTTGTGTTGTGTTGTGTTGTTTGTGTGTTGTTGTGTTGTTTGTGTGTG